GCGCTGGCAGCTGGGACCCCCAGGCCTCTTTGAATTGCTGGGCCCCAGAGCAACTGCCCTCTTCCCTCCACTCCCTGGTCATTGGGCCTGGGGGAGGTACAAGAGCGGGAGGAGACAGCCCCCATGCAAGCCCTGTTCTCCTGAGAGGCAGCGCTATGGAGGGGCTGAGGGCAGTACAATGTCTTTCCAGGACACTGTACTGGCTATCAGTAGCATGGCAGTGTAGCACGCCAGACCAGACCCGCTTACTTGCAGAGCTTCAGCCACTTATCCATACGTCATACCAGCCCGTACCAGCTTAAGAGCGGGAGGAGACAGCCCCCATGCAAGCCCTGTTCTCCTGAGAGGCAGCGCTATGGAGGGGCTGAGGGCAGTACAATGTCTTTCCAGGACACTGTACTGGCTATCAGTAGCATGGCAGTGTAGCACGCCAGACCAGACCCGCTTACTTGCAGAGCTTCAGCCACTTATCCATACGTCATACCAGCCCGTACCAGCTTACTTTCACCTCTTGTTCCGGCCTCCTATGAAATCCATTGGGTTCAACAGTGACTGGGTTTATTAAACCGGAGTGGAATCAGGCCCTCAGACAGGGATGGGCAGCCATGAATGGCCCTCCTTCACCTCAGTGGGCTGCAGCAGCCCACAACCCATTGGGGTTCCCCCTACGCCCCCCTGGTCTGTCTCCCCATCCCTATGCACCTCTTCCACCCATCCTGTTATTTCCCCTCCCTCCCAGAACTTTTGGAGTCTGTGAAGCACCTGATTCCTGCCCTGTCTTCACTTCTCTCCCCCCCTCCTCCCCTCCAGTTGGAATGCTACAAACAGCTGATTCCTGGCATTCCCGCTCTGGGAGGGATGGGGTAGAGCACAAATCAAGCAATTCGTGCCTCCTTCAAAAGTGCTGGCTGGGAGGGGAAGGCGTAGGAAGTTTGGGGCTCCTGTGCTCCAGTACACAAGAGGCACGTTGGGGCGAGAGCAGCTGGGGGGCTGTGGGTGGAGCCCCAGTGGGCTGCATGTGGCTCGCAGGCTGCCCACCACTGCTCTAACACAACACCAGATTTCAGTGTCAGGCTGCACCTGGGTAAATCTGGAGGGGCAGCCTTGATTCTGGCCACACACTGATGTGAGCACAGGATGTGACTCTAAATTCTGCTGTCAGCTAAATGGATGCAAGTCCCACCCCTGTCAACAGGAGCCGCACCCCTATAGTTGAGAGCAGAATACTGTCTTTAAGGTGAAACACTTGAGACCTGACCTTTCTACTATGAACGTGGCTGTTTTTTTGCTGGTGTAACTCCACTGGCGCTAGCCCTGCTGTACCCAGGTCGGAGCACAAAGCTCTAGCTCTCTTCATCAGACCCTCGAAGTTGTTCACACAAACAGAGCATTGCGCAAGCGAGGCAGCTGGGCACATGAAATGGAAATTCCAGCCACCAGAAACACTTGAGACCTGACCTTTCTACTATGAACGTGGCTGTTTTTTTGCTGGTGTAACTCCACTGGCGCTAGCCCTGCTGTACCCAGGTCGGAGCACAAAGCTCTAGCTCTCTTCATCAGACCCTCGAAGTTGTTCACACAAACAGAGCATTGCGCAAGCGAGGCAGCTGGGCACATGAAATGGAAATTCCAGCCACCAAAGGTCAGCAAGGCAGGAGAGAGAAGTAGGGCATGTGTGTGTGGCAAGAGGCTGGGATGCATTCTCCATCATGGGCACTGTCTCTCCTTCCCGGCTCCAGCCATGGCAGCTTCCAGGCACTGTAGGTGACACTAAGTCTGCACACCAGAGAATATGCTCAAAGGAATGCGCATGAGGAACCAAGGGGAAGTTGCTGGACAGGGGCAGAACCTGCAGGGCACAGGGGAATAACTGATTCTGCTGCCCATCTTTCCATAGGGCTTGTGGAAGTATAGTGAGCACAGCTTCTAGCTGGCTACCTCCCCATGGTTCGCCTGGTCGAGAGCCACTGCTGCTCCGCTGCATGCACGTCTGAGGCCTCATGTAGCTAAGCTGGGATACTCAGCACTTGGCCAAGTGAATCAGGTCTTTAGCTATTCCCTCTGGCCTTGGCGTTTAGCCATTCCCTCCAGCCTTGGCATTTAGACATTCCCTCCAGCCTTGGTGTTTAGCCATTCCCTCCGGCCTTGGTGTTTAGCTGTTCCCTCCAGCCTTGGCATTTAGATTTCCCTCAGGCCTTGGCATTTAGACATTCCCTCCATCCTTGGCATTTAGACATTCCCTCCGGTCTTGGCATTTAGACATTCCCTCTGTCCTTGGTGTTTAGCCATTCCCTCCGGCCTTGGTGTTTAGCTGTTCCCTCCAGCCTTGGCATTTAGACATTCCCTCCAGCCTTGGTGTTTAGCCATTCCCTCCGGCCTTGGTGTTTAGCTGTTCCCTCCAGCCTTGGCATTTAGACATTCCCTCCGGCCTTGGCATTTAGACACTCCCTCCAGCCTTCAGAAGTTTGCCCCATGTACTTTCCTGCTCTTTTTCTACAAGTCCACGACAAATCAGTGAGAGAGGAGATCAAGCCACATCAAGACTGCAAATGGCCCAATGGCTGGATGTCTGGATCTAGGTCTTTGACTCATGCCTGTGTTTTGAGCCAAATGGAACCTCTTCTGAATGGCCTTGGGAAGGTGGCGTGTGTGTGTGTGTGTGTGGAGGCTGCTGCATGCAGAGGTTAAGGAATGAGGAGAAGATTTAACAGATTAAAGTTTAACACAATCAAATCTCATCCTTCATGGCACAAACTAAGTGCCACAGAGATCAGGAAGGAATTTCACACACACGGCACCATTGCCCAAGTGCATTATTGGTTACTTTTCACTTTTCTCTGAAGCCATTATTGGAGTCAAGTCGCCAGATTTGCTGCACCTGAATTGGGGTTAACTGCATAAGGAACAGAAGCTTCCGGGGGTAGCCAAGTTAGTCTGTGCAGGATTAACTGAAGGCACAAAAAGTCTAGTAGCACTTTATAGACCAACAAAACATGTAGATAAGGAACAGAAATTCATTCCTATTGGCTTGACCCCTGCAACAGAAGATACTGAGTCATTCCGGGGTGGACACAATAAACACTGACTATTGGCAATCACTGACCTTTGATCCTGTCCCTGGGCTTCTGGAGAGGGATTTTCCAAAGTTGTTCCCTTGCTCCGGGAAAAACAACTGGTGAAGGAATTTCCTGAATCAGAGCTGTTATCGCTGTTAGCCGGTTTGGGCTTCCCTGGTGAGAGGGCACGGCCAAAGCCATTGTGGGCTAGGCTTCTTTTCTCCTGGTTGTCCTTAGGCCTAGATGAGCTTTTCTGAGTGGAAGGAGGGGAGCAAGTATCGTTTCCTGAGTCAAATTCGTGTGACTCTCCATTCCGACTGGCTAGGTTGCCAAGCGGGCTGTCTGTTTTGGTAAAGAGGTCAGCGGATGACCCCGACTGAGAGATCTGAAAGCAAAAAAGCCATTTGGCATTGTTTGAACCTTTTTTGGATTTGTTTGCTATTATATTGTCTGACTTTTTTTTTTAACTAACCCAAGAAATTTTACCATCATGATGCACTGTAACAAAAGGAAAGAAAGAAACAAAGAAAAAAGAGAAGCCAAAAAAACAAAAGTACATATCCCTGAAAAAAATCCACAGAAAGAAGAAACTTCTTTTCCCCCTAACATGATAACTGGAAGATTTAGACATCATGCAAAGAGTATTAGCATGCGATCCATGTTGAACAAAAGCTTTTTTTTCTTTTTTAAAAAAAAGGGGAAACAAAAGAATAAATAAATACAAAAAAATAAAACAGGAAAAATATAAAAAATAAAACTAACAGCCCTCATTTAACCTGAAAGGTGGGGTAGGGAAAAGAAACAGGAATATTTATATAAAAAACTATATACTCATTGGAAATAAAACAAAAATGGAACACAATTCTAAATTATCAACTTTTTGTTTCAGTTTCCTTAATAAGGAGACTCAAATGTCATAAAAAAGGTATTTATGTTCAAAGGAAAAATTGGCAAATAAATAAGTTTAGCGCTTTGAAACTCAATAAAGAAAAAAAGTGTGTGTGGGAGGGTGGGAACAAAAATAAAAAAAAATAAAAACTAAAATCCCCCTGGAAATAAAAGGACTACAGATATTTCTTTGTGTGCGTTTTTCCCCCTGTAGAAGATATAGCTAATGCTCTTGAGTGACCTCTAATAAATTCCCTAGTGTCTTGCGGATAGCATCCACTTACCAATCAAGAATTCCTCCTTTAGTAGGTAAGGTGTAAGAAAAAGGGAAG